CTTGGAATAGCCCTCGAAGGGAAAAAAGAGATGCTAGTGGTTGTCCCGATGCAAAAACACAAAGACTAACCCTGAAACATCCGAAACTCAAATGTATAACAATAAGATAAATAAGAGTGGTCAATGAGGATAGACCGACCCCACAACACTAAAAAAATTGGACCTGATTCGGTAAAAATGAGCAGGCGAATGATATGGTATAATTTTACGTGATTTTACTACTTTAAATACCATATTTTCTTCTCTATTTATTATGGTTTTACGCTTGTGGAAGGTTTCTTGGTAGTATTTTATAAGTTATGGGAGTTGACAATGCATGGCGAAGCTAAAATACGAAGCGGGCAAAAATGCTAGCTAGACGTAATGTTGCCACTTTCTGGCTTAATTATGCCAGCTGCTCTGTGTGTTTGGCGTAACTATGCCATGATCAAGCGTAGTTATATCGGCCTACACCGTAATCACTCCAGATAGGGGTGTAATTTTGCTGACACCAACCTAAGTCTTATTTTGACATCTTTTTGCGTGGTTAATTTGATAAGTGATATATATGAAGATGCTTTGAAATATTCTAGAAGCGGTGTGGATTCTTCAAAATCCTAGGGTGCTCTTCAAACCCTAGGTTCTCTTCCCTCTTCTTTTTAGAAGGAAACTTTTAAGGTGCTTTTTTGCTTTGTGTTTTGAGAGTTGTGTGAGAGAGAGATTGGCTTGTGGAGAGATTCTCATTGTACGATGAGAACCTGGTGTAATATGGAGAAAACTTGGCTTGATTGTAAGTTTATACAGTGTTGTGTGACGAAGCTTGTGGAGAGCTTCTCATTGTACGATGAGAACCTGGTGTTATATGGAGAAAACTTGGCTTGATTGTAAGTTTATACTTTCTTCAATGTTTTTAATAAATTCTTTCCTATTTTTCTACCTAATAGCTCATAGCTAAGTCTCCTTTCTTACTTCTATGATGTAAGGAGAGGGGTTTTCTCATTGCTTTAACTATGAGTTGTTCCCTGTAAATGTATTTCTTACCTTTGAATTTCATATATTGACGTGTTAACTTTCTGGTCTTAATTTACTTCGAATCAGACCTGATAGATTGGTAAAATCTTTTATGATTTAGAACTTTTAACTGTTGCCTTGAACAACAAGTAGATTAACACACAATAGTTTATTGGAATGGATACATTACAATTAGGAATTTGTAATGTAGATGAGACATATTGGAATTATGAGAAATACTATATGGTTATGTTCCTCTTAACTGTAATATGATTTTCAATTCTTCTTATGACCTAGTAATATACTAAGTAGATTGTTTTCTTGGCTGTTAATATGACATCAACAAAGAGAACATAATATCGATGTTACAGAAGCATGACCTTCATCACCTCTGAGGACTCAAAATTTCTCTGACTTTTTTGCTATGACCATTTTATTTAATATTATTTCTATTTACTGCACTTTTAGGTTTGTTATGATTTTACTTTCTATCACTTTGATCAATTCAAACTAGATTCTACGGTTTAATACACTAGAACTTTCACTGTTAGAAATATTCTGACAACTATCTTCATAGGATCGATACCGACTCTTTATCTGTATATCATTTTATCAACATGTCAACTTTGATCAACATGTCAGCTTGCTTGTTTGATTGATTGTTTTGCACTAATTTCTATCATCAAGTTTTTAGTATTAGAGTCAAAATTTTCTGACTTGAGAAGAATTTTAGTTGAAACACTTGGAGTTTATATTTGAATTGTATTCTATTTTCTGGTTTTTTTTACGTTTTTTGTTATAACAATGTTTTGTTTTGTTTTTTGAAATATTCATAAAAAAATTGTTTACATCTTTATTTTTATTCTAGTGATTAAATATTTTCCTACTTATTTATTGTACTGTCCCTGTGTTTTTCTTACTTTATTTTCCTATTTTTTATGCATTTCCTATTTTGGATAGTGCCACCATTCACACACCTGTTTTTGCATGCGTAGTAGTTTAGCTGAATTGTTGCCCTTCACCTTGAAATAGAAATAAGCCATTAAAAAAAATTGAAAAATTCAAAAAACTCAAAAGAAAATTCTTAGAAACGACTAACTCTCGGGAAGACCATCTGAAATCCCTTAGAAAGTATGCCAGTTCATCGATAGTGGGAATTTACATGAGTATCCATTACCCAACCATAAAAGCCAACACATTATGCTGAGACCTGCCATAATCCAAATGGTCTAAGACAACTAGTTTAGGGGAGCATTCAATAAAGATCCAAACCCGCACCTTGCCAATTTCTTAGAACTTTTTGCCATTTCTAAGTTTAACGGCGTCCTTAGTGATGGCATTAAACTA